ACGACATGTATCATTAATCATCAAAAAACTTGAAAATATCATTCACAAACAATCTCACTTTGATATCGTGCGATACCATTCAAGTAAATGATTAGTCAAAAGATCCGTTGTGCCGTCCAAAAATACGTCATTCAAAATTCAATATTGCACACGCGATATATAAATACCGCGGAATATATAAATGCATTATATTAATAAACGATCGATATATCACGGGGCTTTTCATTATGTGAATTATTTTACCCTGGTTTGTATATTACTCAAAATTTTTGATATGAAAATGATGGGTTAATTACATTTGAAAACAAGCGAAAAATTCAAATTACAGCGCGAGGCAAAATATATTCGAGGTATATTTAAAGAAGTCATTATATGCCCGTAAACATTTTACAATTACTAACAAATTAACTTATTTGTTTTATCATAACAAAACAATTTATAATTTCCATCTCATGTCGTTCCGAGATTCTTCTTCCAAATATATTACGCGAAATATTGCTTCGATAAATAGCTGTCGTCGCAATGTTCATACGAATCACGCTAACTAATAACCAATAATTGTAATTATTACGCATTTGACGTCTTCCAGTACTTCTCACGATCGTGTCTCGAAAAATACTACGATAATATGTCGCTACCAATTTATTTTTCTAAAATATGGACGAGAAGAAAATGAAGCATTAGGGAAGGGTAATTATTATTTTATTTCTCAATATTTAAAACGATAATTATTTCTTTAATTTATTTAGATATGAATATATACCGCGTTTAAAATTTTTCACCGATTTAAGCATTATTTGCCTATAATTATCGGGAGTAATATACGATTACCGGATCGAATAATACAAGTAAAGGAAAACCGATGATATATCGACCGTTAATTAATAATTTATTTCGCGGGATTTATTATGTATCTCGCATGCAATATCGTGAATTTCGATTATATATATTTCGGGACGGTACATTGCCTCTCAACTAGCCATTAACTCGACTCGCGTAATATCGCGCGATATCAAAGTGAAGTCGCCAATGCCATTTACGGTCATTAACAAAACGTTTGCGTTTACGAGGCTGATCGAACAGCGTCGCGATATGTTCAATTATAATAAGTACATTAATCCTGCATTTTAATATTTTTTTTCCTGCGTTATTAATCCTACATTTTAATATTTATCAATCGCGCATAATAAATTTGGCGTTTCTATAATCCATCGTTGCAATTTGTCAAAACGCATATCCCGCAAAATTTATTCAAAATTAGTCGTGCAAACAGTCGACAAACTTAACTATATCTTTGAATATTGCACAATCCTTGAATATTTATGTTTAATTCGTATTCCAAACTTTATAATACCAGGTGAGTAATTGTAAAACGAAAGTGTATATTATCTGTTAAATGTCACCGCAGCAAGTGACGCGTGAATTTGAATAGCAAAATTTTCGAGCGCCATAATTTTCACGTTGTTCTCTCATCAATGAAATAAAGTGCGTGTCGCGCACGATGATTATACATTGGAAGCGCCCTGTAAAGTGTCACGCGATCGTCGTATTCCACCAATTAGTGCGCCCGTGATCGTAATTAACCGTGTTTTCGTGAGTGTCATGCAAAAGTGTCATAAAAGGGCAGCAAAGGAGAAGCAAGAGGGGAAAGAGAGGCATTGGGCGACAGCGAGGAGTAACTGTGAGATGAGTAATTTACAATTTATTTAATTTATTTTATTTGTTATTTTTTAAATTAAACGTCTCTTTCCACAGTAAGTGATCAATTTTATATTAATGCATAAATATAGTGTGTGTGTATATATAAATATAAAATATTCTCCGTGTATCTCTTACATATTTTCTAATTTATATAAAAAAAAAATCTGTCTTCTTTAAAAGTATCTTTCCAATTAACTTTATTTATTGTTAAATTCTCTTGCTCGCATCACAAAAAAAGAAGAGATAGAACTTACATTAAAGATATCGCTCACAACAGAGGTATAATCTGGAATCGAACGTTAGTTATTTTAGCGAGTTCAAACGCTCCAAGTTTTTCCAATTAATCTCAGTCCAGTCAGAAGGAAAGCGTTTGTGTTTTATTAACGACAAATAAACCGACGTTTTGATCCAAGGGTCTCTGATCGCAGTTCGAAATAATTGAAATTTAAGACGCGAAACGAGCGTACGAGCGGTGACTCTTCCTCGTCGTTGCCTCGACTCGATTCGATCCAATTAAGCGCGGCCCCGAGGGTCCCACGGAGTGCTGTCGGGAACTTCGATTCTCTTTTCGCCCTACTCTCTTCCCTCCTCTTTCTTTCCTTCTTCAGTCACTCCTGTCTTCCTGGAGACCTTTACTGTGTTAAAGAGGCGACATTCGAGTGCGAGCAAAAACTGGTCGAGACAACGAAACACGCTCCCATCTTTCCTGCGCGCGATATTCGTTACCTTAATTACATTCGGAACGTAAACCGCGTAATCAAAAAGGACGGCTTTACCTGCTCGCGAAGAACATTTTTCGACACGAAAAACGAAGTTTCGCGAAGCGACGCCTGATAAATTCGGTCTCGTACCTTTGTAAGATTTCACGTCGTTATATTTCTTATCATCGAAGATACTTCATTATGCGTTTGACACTCTACAAAATGTTTTTCATCGACCGTGTTTATTACGATAGAATAAATTTTATTAACAATCGATATAATTTTTATAATTTATGACACAATCAAATTATTTTGTCCAATTTTATTTTAATTTTTTATTTCTATTTTTTTGATAAAATTAGTCATTAATATTTTTCGAAATATACATTCGTCTTGTTTGACATTTGCTCGTAAAAAAGTGATACGATTAATCGCGAGATTAATCATCGTATAGTTAAGGATCTCGGTATTAATATGAGCAATAAAGATGAGTCATCATCAATGTTTCCAAGATTCTCTTCCGCCTTATTCTTGTTTCAATCTTGAGGTCGACATTTAGTTTTCGAAGGAACAAACGGGCAAACGCGAACTACAAGTAACGTCACCTCCATTAATCTTCCTCCTGCTCGGATTAGATTTAACCTAAGGGATTCTCACGATCTTGTCTCGACCGAAATTACGATCGCGACCTCTTCGTGACTCTGCATCATGAAAGCTGATTCATCTCGAAGGGGAACAATCCGGAATAATTGAAAATAGAACACATAAAATATTTAATAAATCAAATAATTTATGTACCAACTCTATGGAATCTATTATTACATTAAATCTATATTGAAATAGTACTTGTTGGTAACAGCAACCAAGATTGTATAATGATTAATTAATTACGTAATACTTCTTTTTCCTTTCTCTCGAGGCGAAACGTGATTATGCGTTTGCGCCAATTGCAGAGCAATGCTATTGACGCGCATGTTTCGAGCCGCGAGCTTGAAGATAGGCAACGAACAATAATCCGACAAAGAATAATGGATAGCAATGAGGTATTGTCCCGTGTCGCTTTCAACGAGTCCAATTAAAGCGCGTCCTTCCGTCGGCTTAAAGTCAGAGACGCGGTGGAGTTTTTTCACCGGCAACGAGTGGGATGGAGAATTGTGTAACCCTAGGTTTCAATAATAAAAGTCTCGTTACGTTTTGCGTTTACGCTCGCTATAAATTATCACGTTTCCCGTCCGAATGTTTTTTTTTGTCCGATAGCGATTGCGCGTCGCGGAATAATTAAAGCATAACGAATTGACAATGTGGTAAAATTCGTATTGATTTTCCCGCGACCTTTTCTGTTCCCAACAATATATCATATTTACCGATATTATATTAGGTCTACCGGAAAGTTCTGTCCGTTTTTGGAATAAAACAAAATACAAATTTTTATTACCGTCAATAAACTTTATTAAATAATGTAATTGCCATTATTATTAATGATTTCTTGCCAGCGTGAGGGCAATTTGTATATCCCTTTTTCGAAAAATGTTTTATCTTTTGATGCGAAAAATTGAACCAGTGCTTGTTTGATATCTTCTTCATTTTTGAATTTTTTGCCCCTCAAAAAATTTTGTAAGGACAAAAACAAGTGATAGTCGGAGGGTGCTAAGTCCGGGGAATATGGTGGATGCGACAGAATTTTCCAGCCTAGTTCTGCAATTTTTTGACGAGTATCCAAAGCAGCATGTGGCCTGGCATTATCATGATGCGGTATGATGTTCTTCCTATTGAACATCGGCGGCCTCTTTTCTTGGACTGCTGTATTTAAATTATCCAGTTGCTGACAATACTTCTCCGAATAATGGCAATTACATTATTTAATAAAGTTTATTGACGGTAATAAAAATTTGTATTTTGTTTTATTCCAAAAACGGACAGAACTTTCCGGTAGACCTAATATTAATTTGATAATTATTATTTCAATTTCTACCTGTACAGAGATCATATATAAACCACTTATGGTAGCTTCAATCGAATAATTTTCCTCTGCCAAATAGAACTTGGTGAGATCATATACACCGTTGCTCCTGCTACTTTTGATCCATGGTCCTATATAAACTAAAAATGATTTTTTATTCTCGATATATGTTACATAAATTTTGTATTTGTTTAATAAAATTAAAAATAATTGAAAATATATATTATATGAATTTATATTAAATAAATAAGTCTAACTGTATCTAGCTAATCTAATAAGTTCAAAAAGCTTTAAAATATGATTATATTATTTTCGCTATTAAATACCTGTATTTTTAAACTCTTGTTCCGGTATTGCACCAACAAACGTAACCACTGCCGGGTCTATAAGACAAATTAAAATTATTTTTCGAGTTTAGAAATCTTCCTTCAAGTAAATTGTGAGTTAACCAAATATTAGCGAATCAATTAGGTGAAATTTTTATTAGCCAATATAATTATAATTTGCAAGTTAATCTGTTTCTATAAATCAAGCAAGTAGTTTAGAAATAACATATTGATTAAAAAAGAGAAAGAAACAGATATACCCAATCGCCTGCGACTGCGTTTGGGCCTTCTTCTGTTTAGTCGCCGTTTTTTACCTCTTCCTTCATCTCTCCGTAATTTTCTCGCTCGTGATTCCCTTGATATATCCATTGTATCATTACCGCTTCGCTCATTTTCCGTCATCGTGTGATTTTGCGCTTCAATTTTCAATATAGCCCTCTTTTCACGTGACAAGTTTTTCATCTTAGGCTCGGTAATCAAATTGTCCTCTGATCTTATCGACGAAATCGAGTTGATGATATTTAAAATACTGCTATTTTTTTCAACTACATGATTTTGACGATCCAGTGTGGCCAGTGATTGAACGGAAGCAGATGGAATCGTCGAATTATCCATATCAAAGATCATCATCAAGGCAGTGTTGGAATCGCGATCATTTTTTATTTTCGATAGATTAGCGAACTCGCGAATGGTAGTCTTTGAATAATCTGTTGACGGGATACGCCATGGACGAGCGCTATTTATATTTTGATTACTGTATTTGAGCCTCGACATAATATTATTTATCTGAAATGTCGGAACAAGTAAAAATATTATATACTAAGATATTGGAAGTTCTTATAATTTCTAAATAAAAGCAAGTTTTCAAATAATAATAAAAATTTAAGATCTAAAGCAAAAAGATAATGTTAGATTTTTTTTTATTTGTTATGATTTGTTATGTGATACGTGATTATCTAAAGCAAGCTACAGAAAAATCGTGCACGTGATATTCATCCTACATCAGATGATGCACATTCCGCCCGATAAAAAAGGTGGATGATTAATTCTCGAAACTCGAAACATATGTTACAATTATATTAATTACTCATGCTTATTTATAGTCGTATAGGTGAGTGCATACAAAGATATATATATAAAAGATTAACAACTTTCTACATAAAAAACGTGTAAAAACTAATCTCTTATATCTGTATTGAAATCAATTCATCTTACCCGTACTTCTAAATCTTTTATTTTTCCGTATAAATTTCGATGTACTTCTTCCGACGTTCGGTAAATTCGTATTGTGTTTTCTTCATTTTGTGCTGTCGTAATCGAAATTATTCTGAATATCATGAAGCAGATTATGAGAAGGAGAACATTTATACAACTAATTAACAAAACATCTCTTCTGTTGGTTTTTAAATTCTTCACGTTAACATTCATATACAGCTTCATGTTTGTGAGATCAGCATCATCCTGTGTTAATGTGTCATCATCTATTGACGAAGATATTTCAATCTTCGTCATCTTCTAATCATCTAATTTCTTCTAATCATTAGGAGAAATCTCGTTATCGATAACTTAGAGATATACCGTGACGCCTGAAATACATTTACGATATGTATGTGCAATTATCAATATCCGGCAATTAGTTTACAGTAAGATAATTTATATACAATGTATAAACAAACTTTCTTTTTAAAAGTGACATAAATATGACAATAAATAATTATCTTTATTGCATTACCAAACAATAAAAAATTGTATCTTGCACAGCTGTCGCGTCGTTTTTTTACTTCTTTGTACTAAAAAAATTATTTATTATATAAAATTATTATGTATTCTATAGCTCCACACAGAAAATGCTTTGCCTAAAAAAGAAAATACCTTTGGAGGAAATTCTAAATCTAAAAAAGAGCAAACAATAGTTTCTTTCTAAGAATTATTCCCAGGTATATTTTTGTCTTCCAAGAATCTACTATTCTTTATAGAAGCTATATCATTGTTTCCATTTTCCCTTTTTTTATCGTATTTTGAAAAAAAAATCGGGAACCTAAACACTTTATCACTTTATCCATTGCGCGCAATCTTGACGTGTATTCAGAGAGGTGGATGTTTAGTATATCATCTATCAAGCCGTTTCTTTTTTTACGCTTAAATAAATTACTGTATAATAGACTTTAATCTGTCAGTACGAAATATCTGTGCAAGTTTCTTACAAGGTTCTTATCGTAGATTATCTTTTCGTTATACGAAACTGTCCGAGTCTACGATGTGTAATGATAAGCGGCGTAAAGATACAGTTGTGTTACTCGTAAGCACAGCTGCATCTCGGCTACAAACAGGTAGTTCGGATGTATACAAAGAATTTTTCTTAGGAAAGAATTTACTAGGAAATCTATACCCCCCTTAGAGCTCGTAACATTGTTCAAAACATTGCATTGTTCATACACAGTGACGCATTTCCCGCCATTTTTTGCCATGTACGAACATATTCCTTTATAAGTAGAGAATTAAAAATAGTTACATGTGTCTTTTGTGTGTATATGCTGTGTTTATATTAGCAGTTAAATTTGTACATATTAAAATAATTTTTTCCAATAAATTCTCTAAAGTATTCTTAGCTCGTTTTTTAATTACACTTTAATATTATAAAACTTCATGGATATAAACTAAGTAATAACTTCTGTATTTTTATCTTACTTCCCAATTTCTCTCATTATAGCAAATAACTATACAATTATTAATATACTTTAATTAATATTCTCGTAAATTATCGTTACACATCAGAGACATATTTAAATTTCAAAATTAAGGAGGCTTTGAAGATAATAATTTTATTCGCAAAATTTTTTCTTGAAAAAAGAAAAAAAAGAATCATTCGCGACCCGATACTTTCAAAGGAAATATCTCCGTGTGAATTTCAAGGGTTAGAAAAAGCAAACATATTCGGTGCATAATTTAATACTGTTCAACAATTGAAAGAGCAATTGAGGCAAACGCAAAAAGCGCATACACTTACCTCTGAATATGTTCCCGCCTTTCACACGAACGGCTGAATGATAGATCATCGATCGAAGTAGTTCACTCGGAGCAGACCCGCCCGAGTGAAACGCGCGCATCAAATCTTTTGTTTACTTCTCCCTTGTGGTCCATAGCAGGTCCACAGGCGACGGCGACGGCGACGGCAACGCCACGCTCGTATTTGATCGGTGACGAATCTTTGCTCGCTTTGGTTACCGATGCTCGCTAACTTGACGAGATATCTCTGCGACCATGTCGAGGTCGAGGTCTTCGTTCGACGTGTTTCGGAATGCACGAAAATGTGCAAGAACCATCTGCACGATTTTTCTGCAATTCGTAGTTCTGCTTGTCGCAGAGAGAAACACGGAATTGCGAACTTCCTGCTCGCGACGATGCATTACTTGATAATACATTACTCTGGAATACAATTATTAGAGTTAAAATTATAGAGTTAGAACGTATATATATATATATAATATTATATGAGAATCCAAAAATAATAGAGACAGACATAGACTGAATATAAAATACAAATAGAAATGGATATTCGGATAAAATGATGATTCCCGATAAAGGTACACTTCACATATTAAGATCCTTATTACTCATTGCCGGCGCAATGAGTAATAAGGATCTTGTAAGGTTCATCATAGCTTCTGCAAAGAGACATTTTATCACGTTCTTGTACTTAAAGTCTCGAGCGCTCACGTAAGTCTTGTTATTAATGCCATGTTGAGAAAAATTCTGTAATAAAGATACTAATTAGTCATCATATGATGCCCTAAGTCTGTATTAAATTGGATAATCGGATATCACATGCGTCATCGAGTACATAAAATGAGGGACAAGGGCTTAGAAAACGAGAGAACTCTCGACAATTCTTTTAATTACATCCTGGCGTAATAATACATTAAACACACACATATATATATGTGTGTGTGTGTGTATGTATTTTACAAGCAGAAAAAAAAAGAATTTACTGTTCGGTATTTCCAGAGACATACCTGGAAAAAGTGTGAATGATAACAACAATTAGATGTAATTATCTTCGTTACTACTGCAGATGACTGTCAGATTGTTAGTCATGGAATTTCCAATTTCATATCACTCAAACATATTTCGCGATCGCGATGCATTTAATTATCATCTTTGCACCGAAATATTCTTTAACCAAACGTGTCCAATTATGTAAATATTATTTAATCGGATGTTACACACACATCTGCAAATATTATTAATATCATTAATAGAAATATTCAATATACCGACTCTAGCACATAATATTCGCAAATATATAAAGACGATAATAACAAAAATCTGTAGTAAAATTAATGATAATAAGAAAAAAGAATCGTACATTTTAACTATAATTAATTCCGGGAAATTTTTACTCGCTTCACTTTATCTCGGTAAACCGCGGTTAAGTTTTGTAGACGCGCGCGGTTGTGTATGTGATCTCATGATTAAATTATTTAATTTCTCAATACAATATACACTTCATGCGAGACAAACAGCCATGTACATATATTCTGGGAAAGAATCTTTCTTCGTAGAATTTTATCGTCGATTACTGTGATGTCATAACAGATGAAACAGAAAGAAAGAGTTTTATAATCGATGGCTTCTATTTATTTACGTGTCTCTAATATAATCTGTTAACGATCAAGAAATTGTAGATAGCAAATATCTGTTGTCAACAAATTGATTAGCTAAATAGCGAAATATATCTTCAAGATCGAGGAATTTAAGATGACTTTTTCAAAAGCCATAAATTTAGATCGTAAATAAAAAAATTAATATTAATATTTATCATTCTTATTTTTCTATTATCTTCCTCTTCTATAGATTCTTTCAAATTATCTTTACCTTAAGCTTTACTTTTAAGATCTAGAATGTTATGTTCTAATTTCTAATATCTAAATTGTAAAATTTTAGACTTTAAGATTTAATTTCATTAAGATATTTAATATAAAATTATTGAAAATAAATAGATCTATAATCGGAGAAGTCAACAAATAATCCATGTGTGATTGGAATCATATGTAATCTCGCTATATCAGATATATGGACAAATGTATTGCGGAACCGATCACAGAATTATATATATTCACACAATTACGCATATTTTCTTCGTTATCAACTCGAAAAGCAGAATAAGCGTAATTAGAGGCTTGCAAACGTGGTCACACAGTATAAAGTTCTAAATTGCGATCACCTCATTGCGATTATCTTCTTCATCTTGTGTATTTATTTGACTCATTCTTTATGCGTATTTTCTTACGCTCTTTCTTTCTCCATTTTCATCTTTCATTAATCTCTTTAAATACCGTTTTATATATTCATATTATCATATTCGCAATCTGGCGATAGCTTATAGTATATTTCTTTTTATCGATTTTTATAAAAAAGACTTATCTTTGGATTACGATTAACGTTCTTTAAGTACTGCTACACAACTATTATTATATTAAAAAAAAAATCTATTTTAATCCAAACTAAATTTTAATTTAACAGCGCGATAGTATAACATCATACCGTTTGACAAGAGCCGAAGGCGCCGCAATGATAAACGCGGACGTTCTTCATTCTGTTCTTCAGTATACTTGTGCCCATCGTAGGCGACGGATGCGCATTGTCAACTGCACGCGTTTCTAATTTTTGTGTGAATGCTCTGGAAATGTTAATAATCAGCGATAAAAATCAAAATGCTATAAACATATGTCAGTTCCGTGAATTAAATTAATTTTACTAACAATTTACGTAATTTTTGCAATATAACGTGCAATAATAAAAATGTATTTAAAAAAGTGCATTTTAGAGATATATTATAGAGAATACATATTATAGAGAATATGTTCATTAAATGAAAAGTGCTGGATCGCTAATAGTAAATGTTGAAGTGGATTAAAGATTAATTTAAATTAATAAAATATCCATGATAAAATAAAAACTGTATCCCGAATTATAAGCAAAAATTAAATAATCGAGGTAAAGTTTATCTCTTTCAAAGTTAAAAGATTTTATTTTTTGATAAGTAGAAAACTCTCTCTAGAATCTAAAACATTGAACTAATTTAAGAAATGTTGGATTACGTCAGGAAAAGATAAGGATCAGATTAAAGCAACCTTACCATAATATGAAAATTTCGTTTAAAAATGTGCATTTTCTGTTATTGTTGTGCATTGTTAAACGTCATTAATTTTTTGCATCTTTATAAGAGATAGTTTTATACATCTGAAAAATTTTCTTTTGTGAATTGGATCCATATATTTCTTCTTCAATTCTCTCCTATTTTTATTTCGATATAAAATGTAGTCTATTCTCTCCTTGTATTTCCGCTCCTGCCGCAGGATGAGAAGAGTGCGGAAAAATGACGGGGCTGGATATAAAAGGAGAGGATAGAGGAGGTCCTCCTCTTATAGTTCTCTACCTTTAAGAGGGGAAAAAAAAACTCGCCGGACAGGTTTTAAAGCGGGACAGGACCGGTGCGGGATATTTAACTTCTTCGTACAACGTAAATCTTCGAAAATGTACAATCAGGTGGACCGCGTCTGTTCTGCGCGAGTGCGGAAAGTTTTTCATAGAGAAAGAGAGATTTCTCTTCCGGTATTCTATTTATAAAGTGTATTTTTTACGGAAATATCAATTTTTCTATCTTGATAAAAATGAGCATTTTCCGCGATTATTTTCGGACCATAACGCACGAAAAAGTACAGTTATTCGAATACAAAATAAAAGAAGAAAAAGACATACCTCAACGCGTCGAGATAACGTTGAATTGATTTAGTACCCCATTAAAGACGATTAGTGTTTGTCCATGATATATCAATAACCAGAATAGATCTTGTGAATTTCATCCAACTCTGTAATAGAAATTTGATTATTATTTAGCCGAATCAAGGCTGCAAAAATCTTTTCTGGGGCCTCGCAGTATATAAATTTGGCCAAATACAGACAACGAGAATTATTATTCGATATATTATATTAAATGTATGAAATGTTTAGTATTGTCGGCGAATTACTCCGCTTGGAAAGCAAAAGATTCGCGATACGTTGCGGCAACGCATGTAATTTTTATGTGGAAATGATTTCCTGACGTGTTATAAAACCGATGCAGAGTGAACTGTGCTCTCGACGTTCGATCGTTCTATCAAATTACAAAGACGTATACAAATATGTAAATCCTCGCGTCGAATTTACAAAGTTAAACGAAGCGATAATCTTGCCGAATAAGCCGACTTCCGCGATGACATCAACGTTACCGGAGGAAGATAGCAAGGTGGCAAAAATGAAACAGAGACTGATGAGCAACGGCCATGTAAAAGAGGAAAAGCGTTCCTTCCTGAATTTCTCGCGAGAAAACTTGAGCGTCTCAAATTCCGATCTTGAGCAAGGATTCAACAGATCGCGACAAAGACCGAGCAGGAACATGATTTTGAATGTGTCCGCTCTCATGATCTCCATTCTTTGCCTCGGTCTTGTAAGTTGGAAGCTGAGTTCGAACGCGCGGGAAATCGAGCAGCTGAAGAGGGATGTCAATAACTTGAAGCGATTTCTGGAACTAAATCTTATTAACGAAATAAAAACCCTCAAAGAAGTAAGTACATCTGTAACAAGTATGATAAGTTGACATTAAGCGCGTCTCCAAGTCCTAGACTTTTTCATCGAATGTAAAGAAGCAAATTATATCGCTTCTATTTGCAGCTTTACTAATAACTGTCGTACATACTGTGTACAAGATACATGAGAAAATTCAAACCATTTCATACAGACCATTGAACTTCATATAAATTTTTGTATAACATATGCACGGTTTATCTTTGACCTTTAGTGCGATTTGTCTCTGCTACGATAACCTTGTGTCTAAATAAAATCGAACAAAACAAAATGCTAGAGATTTGCAACTTTCCAGCTTTAATATATTGGATATTTTATAATTCAATAAAATGTAAAATATCTCAAAATTGTCAATCTTAATTTAATGGCCACTTTCTCTTCAATTTTCTATAATCTAATAGAAAAGGAAGGAGATTAAACACATTTTTCTTAAGGTAGAAAGAAATGTATAGCCAATAGCTGATTATTCTGCTGAAAATATGTTTGTGAACAAATAAGGAATGTATTGCACATATAGTGTGCTATCAGTTTTATTGCCATTCTTATCTGCGGTCATTTCAATCGGATAGAACTATCCGAATTTATAAAGATTCTCATTAGGTCTTATTTACTGAATCAAAATTAATTGTTTTTTTTTTTTTATATCTTTCCCTGGAGCACATTTTCTTCCTCTTGCAAAACAATTTGTTCACATGAGAAGGAACTGCTTGCTATATATTTTTTGAGATACACTTCTGTCGCAAATTGAAATTACAAGCAAATAAATGGAAATGTAAAAATAAGCGTATAAATATGAAAATCAATTTTTTATTACTTATTATTGCATAGATTTAATAATTTGATGTTCAATTTAACTTATCACGTTATTGATAAAAATTCGAGCATATATAAATACATGATTGGACTGTTAAAATTAAAGAAAAATTCGCGCAATTGAAGCAATTTTAATCAATAGAACTTTTATTTTAGCAGAATTTCCCATTTCTGAGAATATAGTTCGTGCTGCTTTTAGATGCAGTAATTATTTCGATTATTGTTTAAAAGGAAATCAAATATACCACAATTGCCTATTACAAATCCTATAATTATATTGCTAAACGAAAAAAATTCTGTTACATACAGAATGATTCATATAGAAATCTCAATTATCCGCATAATTCTATAAGAAGCACGTAATTTTATTTACGAAATACATATTGCAGTTGTACGCAGAGTCGAGCGAAGATAATGATCCAAGCGAGGCGGACATTGATAACGCCGATTATGACTCTAATTATGATGACGATGGTTTCGCATCGCATGACTATACCGATAATTCCCGTCTTTTGACTTATGGCTCTAGGTCGGTAGACTTTCTGAAAACTACTACTACATCGGTACCTACGTCCATGGATCCTCATAAGGCTATTGTTGAAAACAAAGAAGAAAATTACAAGTGAGATGCTATCTTTTTTGTAATAGACCAAGTTAAAAGTTAACAGAATTAATACACGGATTTGTAGTGTTTCTAAAAATGTATAGATTCGTACATTTATAGAGGATTCTAGCGCATTATCAATTAAATTATATTTTATATATATAGAAATATCAAACAAGAAAATCTTGAGGACACACGACGTCTTGAGGAACACACAACATCATTAAATCGCGAGAAGATTGACGATGCAAATAGCACAGAGCACAAACGCGACATCGCCACGAGAGATATATCTGCGAGTACAGGATATATTAAAGAAAGTATCAAATTAAAACGATCTATAAGCGATCATACAGTGGCCGATGACTCTTTGATGAATACGTCGAATTATCATCGTGCCGGACAATATCCTACTAAGAAGGCTCTCCTAAATATATCCAAAACGCGTCCTTATACAAACGATGATAACCACATAAATAATAATACTAAAATAATCGCACTTTTGGAACAGACGAGCTCAACACCGTAAGTTTACGAGCATCTTTATTAAATAATTAATTGAGAAAACTTTAAGAGTTATTGCACAGAAATAGGATCTAAAGAAATTAAATATAAACTCCTTTCGCCCTGATATTAAAAGCTAAATACCGTAATAAATAATAATGATAATTGTTAGAATTACATTAAATAATAAAAATTAAATTAATTATCTTCTGAAACAGACATTCCCCGAAGAAGTATCACACCCACGCACGTCTGGAGACATTTCCTCCAATGCACGACGACCAATTAAGCGAGACAATTACTCGGCCTAACAACCATATGAGCGAAAACTCAGAAGCTGTAAGTGGAAGAATCAATTGGCGGAACGTGCATCGCGATATCGAAGAAACCGACGTATCTATTCAGGTGGGTATATTAGTTGCCGGTGCCAAGATTGCTGCAAAGTTGATAAAATTCGAGTATTATAAAACTCTAGTCAAGTGATAAACACATGAAGCCATTGTGACTGTGGTAGAATTTCAAAGTGGCCAAAAAGGAACGCCGAAGATTGACACGAAGACATTTACGTGCACCACGGCAGGTTTACGCCATTCATTACGGTGCGGATAGCGCGCTCTTCACGGCGGAGGACGAGCACACCGGCAACGGGAGAGCGCGACACAACCACGATATCTTCAAGGCATGGCGACCAAGCGATTGGGTGGCTGATCTCGATATGAACAGACACTTTACGCTCGCCACTAGCGGTACTCTCACTGTGCACGAACCAGGATTGTATCTAGCATACGCGCAGATTCACTATTTGGACGAGCACGACGAAAACGGCTTCCGCCTCCTAGTCAACAACCAATCTATTCTACAATGCATGGTAAAAATTGAAGAAATAAACAATTATCATATTTCTCAGAAAAGAAATATTAGTAAAATTGATGTACATCTAACAAGAGATACTATTTTTAAAGTGATGAAATCCAGAACGGTCAGCTTAAATATAAAAAATTGTATAAAATTATATCAAGAAATTTAGTAAAAAAATAGAGATATATAATACATAATGTGATATACATATATATAGTATAAAATAACGAATATAATTTTCAGGTATATAGCCCTGGCAAGGAACACAAGAGCCGCTCATGTTTTTCAGCCCAAGTGACTGTTCTGCAGGCAGGTGATCACCTAATCCTGAAAAATATTGGTTCAGCAAGGTATACTCTCTTTCAACACGATAAAAGTTTCTTCGGCTTGGTGAAACTCGGAGAATTGAGACAGCAACAGAAGCATCAAACACAATTGACAAATCACTAAATTAAAACGCTTTAAAATTACCGGCAATGTTAAAAAAATAACCGATTTGTAGTCATCGATTTCTTACCCTTAAAAGGGAGCTTTAAGTTAGCGAGAGATTCGTATCTAATGTAATATAACAGTCTTTCTACTCTCGCGTGAACTATATTATTAATAATTTCGTTTTGTAAAGAGATTATATTATTTCTTTGCTATAAGACTTTTTATATATTTTATGACTTGATTATTACGTGCTGCACGTTATTTTTGTTTACATAAAGAGAATCTCCAAATATTTGAATTCGTTTATAAAATATTATATAAAATATGTATGTACACACATATATATAGACATATTTGTAAAAGAAATAATAATATATACATATATATTTAAGAACAAAGAAAAAAAATGTATTATTAAAATAGTAAAACTATTTGTATAGAACTTTTCTTGTAATAATACAAATCAATCTTCAATGACAACATATTTTATTGTAGATCATCTTTTTACTGCAATATAATTTTGAGCGAAGACTCCCGATCGGTATCAAGTCTCCCGGTATATCCATCAAATCAACGATAAAATTCGTTTTTATAAGTTTGGTTGGATAAAAGGTTGATCGATAATCTTTTGAAGAAGATATTTTTTCAATCTTATGTTCATTATGATGTAAAGAGACATTTGATTTATCTAACAATCTGGGAGAAACAGACGTAACTATTTCTTCACGACATGCATCGTTTTCATCTAAATAAGCGCTAAATAATTTCTCTTCATTCGAATCTTCCATCTGTAGAAGACATTCGATGGATTATAAGCAATTTAGTTAAAAATGTATGTATCTATAGTATAAGTGATATTACTTGAGGTACTGCTATTTCGATCCACGATATACCGTATTCCCCGCGTACAAGAGCCGCTGGAAGACATATTCTATCAGCTATTGCCTTGAAGAGCAAAGCTCGTTCGAGATAAGAGCCTACGCGAAGTTGCCCGATCGGGATCACGCTCATTTCTAAGCATTCTTTGATTTCCCTCAAGTGAACTTCAAGCTGATGATCGATACATTTACTCGTCGAATCGAAACCGGACATTTGACGTGCCACAAATTGAGCTAACATTCTTGCGCGCAAAGGAACGTACCGGATATTCGTCAACTTATCTGATGCATTTCTGTATCATATATAAGAGAATTCGCTTTTATATCATGTGTACCTAATATATATATAATTTCAAACCACTTTTTGGAAATTCTACTAACACATCTCTTTTTGATTCCGTTGCTAAAATCATACATTTAAAGAGTTCCACGTATTCAGTAAAATATGGATCGTATTGTAATCGCCCAAATTTTGATTCGGACAATACATTTATATTTTCTATAAACAAAAATGTTCCTTTTAAAGCAAATCTCTTTTTAAAACGTCGGCTTTCTATGACACATTATTTAATAATCGTGATTCCATTGCTATTGAAATCGTGATTTAATTTTGCATTATGTAACATTTTATTACCTTTGAAAGCTGCCTGTAAAGCATTCGATAAAGTCGACGATTGTACACAATTTACTACATAAATAGGCTCCAATGGACAATATTTAAATCGAAAGATATCATCCAATACTGGAAATCTGAAAAATATAGTGTAACAATATGAATAGTTATAAAAGTGTCACAATCACAATTTAACAAACTATACAATAGTTTTTATTGCAATAGTAGAAATTTACATACGGACATATATTCCTTCGTAAAACATAAAATCCATCCTGAGTAAGATCTTGTAGAGAGAGGCGTCCCGTAAGAGCAAATTTAATCGGTAAATGCGATTTAAAAAGCGTCTCTATGCAAGTGTCCCATGAAGGTATCACTCTCGAAGATAAAGGATTATTTAACATGCTGCAGAATGATTATACAATATATTACTATCACGAAAATTCGACAGATTCATAGTAGTTGTAACGGATATGTTTCAAAGTTTAATATCATTCTTTATAAACAAAGACCTTTCTCTTTTCTCTAACAAACTTCATAAAATTGTAAGAGTAAGTGTCAAACTTACTATGAAAGGTACTTGTTTTCAACAAATGCATTTGCTACAATTAAATCTGTGGAAATGGTCTGTACAAGCTGTACCGCAGAGTTTCTTATTGAGATGGAATGCATATCAGTAATGAGAGAATAAAATTTTTGAGGTCCATTTGCTTTTATAAAATAATGTCGACCATTCTTTTCTAAGCATAACACAGAAAGTAGATTGCAACAAGAGATTTTTAATTCATCAAGAAATGGATAAATCGACTAAAAGATAAATATTTTTTATCAAATACTATGCGTTGGTTTCAGAGATTAGAGTGTGTGATATATATATATAATACTTGTTATTTTATATACCTCTAAAAGTAAGAATATTGTGTCAAAAGTGTCAAGATTAATCAAGGTATCTCTAAACTTTGGACAACATGCTATAGCAAGCAGAGCTTCAAGAAAAATAATACAAGTTTCTATAGGAACTTGTTCTACAAATTGTTTTATCAATTGCAATAGATAATCCTTAAAAAATCAAAATTACTATTATTTATATAATCAGAGAAGTTTGTTATTCTATTTTCGAGTGAGTGTAAATAAGAATATATGAAACATGTGTGTGAATTTATAATACAATTACTTGTCCATTAATATCTAAGAAAGCATCGCAATTTCTAATATCACTCATCAATAATTGTTTAAGCGCAAAACCTGCGGCATGCTTTGTGGACCACTGCAAGTCCTCTTTTTTCAATAGGTCTAAAACAATATCATTTTGTTTCCTAGTCTCTTACTTTATGTAATTATGAAAAAAATTCTCAATTATGATAATTATATAACCTAAAATAATTTTAACAAGTTTCCTGCTTGCAAATTCCTTTGCAGCAGGATTAAAAAGTGCCATTTTTCCAATCCCGTAACAAACAACTTCAGCAATATCGGGTTGCGTCCATCGTTGTAACGCGTCTATTAAATGTTCAATAATCTCATACGAATGTAAAACCTATCAAATAGTTGTTATATAAATGTGTGTAAATCACACACATGTAAGAAAAGATTAAGTAGTGTTCTTCTTTCACATATCTTAAAATATATATATAAATGTTATATAAAATTACTTTTCTTCCATTCAAAGTGTTTGCAATATGTACAATAACTTTCAATGCTTCTACAAAAAGTTTCGGAGTTGCTACATGCTCTATATAACTTAATATTTGTGGAATACTTCCAATTTCAATAAGTTTATCTGCAATAATTGGATTCTCAGCAGCAAAATGTAATATTCTCAGAGCTTTAATATGTAAATTATTCCACTCATTCTGTATAATATAAACAATATTAATATAATTTAAAATAAAAAATTTATTAGGATAGAATGTAGTGATACCAAAATTATTCATAAAAGCAAGAATCTCTAACTTTCAGAAAATTCAATAATACTCCAACTCCATTTGTTTCATGGAATAAAGATTGTATATCTTCATCTTTATTCCTCTCAATTATACCAAGAACTGCATTTAGTGCAAGACACTGAATCTCTGGATACGATGATTCAAAATGTTGATACAACAGAGGGAAATTAAATTTCTAATGACAATAAAAAATAGAATATGTAAATTGAGTGAATCTCAAGCTCTCCATTGTAACCATAACAAACCTCAGTTTTCAAAATTGTTCGTGCGGCTACAGGATCCTGTATTAAATTATATAGAATCTCTATATTATTCTTCTTCACATCTGGATCTGATGATTGTATCCCATCAAAAAGAAAGTTCATGTTTAAACAATGATTTGCCAGAAGAGCAGTAGCATACGGATTTTTAGACAATTTCGCAAGTATCGTAGAAAAATATTCTTGCATGAAGATATCTTCTTCACTCGTTAATAACTTCGCAAAACGTAATAAATAATTAGACTCAATTAAATAAGTTGTCACATCTGGCATTGCCATCATTTCTACCAATAATTTTGCAGCAAATCTACAACATAAATATAATAATGCTAAATATAGTGAAAAAATTATCTTCTATATATTTTATATATATAGCACAAACCTTCGAGTAAATAAATCTTTGTGTTCAATAATAGGAAGAATATTATTCATGATGCCGAGATCGAAAAGTATCTTCACGTTATCTTTCGATTTATTAGCATACTTTGACAAAGCCTCTATAACTGCCAATAAAGTGGCTTTTTCCTTAGATTGTAATAGCAATATTGTTGATTCTACATCTTTAGCTTCGAAAAGAGATGAACGAAATGGGCTATATTTCAATTCCGCCTCTTTCTCATCTTCCTCCTGCTCACCTCGTTCATCGTTCTTATATAAATATCATACAATATTTTATTTTCGCAATAAAAGATTGATATATAACTTTTTTTGTACAGGAATTTTTTTGTACACGATCGTCTCTTTCGATCCAAACAAAGAGATCTGACAAATCTTACTTTTGAATTCTGCGCTTGCATATTATGACACGGTATATAATTCTGTATGGATAATAATTAATCTAACGTTATTACGCAATAAAATATTTATTCGAATTCTTTTACCGTTCGCGTTTTCTCCTCTTTGCAACATCCGATCGGCGTTCAAATGTTGGAAATATCGGAATGCATCCATTACCCAATAGCAGAATTCGTTTCTTAGAAATTCTTGGAAAAACAATCTTATTCGATACGATGTGGAAGCTCGTCGACTGTTGGTCAAATAAGTCTTATATACTTAAATACAAGAGGTATTCTCTGAAATACGTTCGAAAATCCATATCGGAATAGAGTAGCATTTGATTGACCAATCAGAACAAAGAAATCTTTGCTCCTTTTATCCTGATTGGTTCCTAGTCGACGAGCAGATATTCGCACGCAGTCCGACACTATACATTACATAACCACAGGTGAAATTCTCTATTCAACGACCAACCGGCATGCTCAACGTAGCACATAGCAGTATGCAGTATGTATATCAGCGTGCATAGGTAGCATAAATAAACGTAATGTAGTTTCATTTAACCTCGTAATATAATCTTGAAGTGTTATCATTATGCTAATAAAACAAGGTAAAAATAATGCTATTCTTGTAATTCCACTCTCAAAAATTTCCTGCGCTTGGTATAGATGATGATATAAGATTATCTTTGCAATCTACAGTTATATTTTGTATTGTGTCCAAGCATACGTGATATTTAATCTTTGTAAATACTTTATATTCTTCTAAAATAATATCGCAAAATCGATACATATATTGTTTAACCCATTCATTTATCAAATGTGTAAAAAGTGAATGTCTTATTTATTTAAGTCTTATTTAAGCAAGCAAGGAAAAGTGTGTTATTTGTGCTTACGTTATTGGATTGAGTTTCTCTCTTAGCTTTAAATATTATGGCATTAGTATAACATAATATGGTGTTGTGTTTATTTATAGGAAGCTGTAAAAATAAGAAGGACTCGGTTATTAAATAAAACTGTCATATGTATATGAAATGTGAAACCTGAAACTATTTCAAAAATGAGTGAAAGTGAATCCATTTATGGGACAACTTTGTCTCAAGAATCTGTTAAAGTGATAGCAGAAAGTATTGGCGTTGGCAATTTCCCAGATGAGGCTGCAAAGGATCTTGCAGAGGATGTTAGCTACAGGCTGAAAGAAATAATTCAGGTCAATTGCGTATACTCAATTCTGTATAATTTGAATCTCTGATAAAAAGACATTAATTTCAAATTTATTAAAAATCATACTTTCAATATATTATTACAATCCTTATTTGTTACAAATTTTATGCAAAATATATATATATATACATATATATAACAGAATATATAAAATTTAACAATTTTTTGGTTTATAGGATGCTGCAAAATTCATGAGGCATGGAAAACGCCAACGAATGACTACGCATGATATAGATCACGCATTGAAGATTAAAAACATTGAGCCAACATATGGATTTTTTGCTAAGGATCATATACCATTCCGCTTTGCATCAGGTGGTGGGAGGGAATTGCATTTTGTGGAGGAAAAGGAGATTGATCTTAACGAGGTTGTATCTATGGCTGGTGGACAAACATGGCCTAAGCTACCTTTGGAAATCACATTGCGGGCTCATTGGCTGTGTATTGATGGAGTACAACCTACCATACCCGAAAATCCACCGCCAGTGTCAAAAGGTTTCATCTGATTTTTCACCTTGAATGCGATTATGAAAAAAAGAATTATTCCATTATATATATATATATTAAAATTATTAAAAAAAGAAACTTTGAAATATCTCAAGAAATATCAGCACAATTTGCAAGTATTTCAAATTTTCGACTATATCATCATGTTAATTTTATAGATGTCCAGAAACTGGAGAGTGTTGATCCGACAACTAAGCTGTCCAGCAAGAATCAAAACATTGGTATTGGTAAACCGGGCGGTGGTGGCAAAAGTCAGAAGTTACGGAATGTGGAGACTATTCACGTGAAACAACTTGCGACGCACGAGCTCAGCGTGGAGCAGCAATTGTACTACAAAGAAATAACCGAAGCATGCGTTGGATCCGACGAAGCCCGCAGAGCGGAGGCTCTTCAATCGCTCTCAGCAGATCCGGGTCTGCACGAAATGCTGGCGCGTATGTGCACCTTCATTGCGGAGGGTGTGCGGGTCAACGTGGTGCAGAATCATCTTGCGCTACTCATCTACCTCATGCGAATGGTCAAGGCTCTACTTGATAACCCGAGTCTTTATCTGGAGAAATATGTAAAAGACTTAGCTATTTTTTAACATTGATTTATTATTTCATTTTATATATTGAAATAATATTATAATTTTTAGCTTCATGAATTGATACCATCAGTTGCAACCTGCATAGTTTCTCGACAATTATGTATGAGACCAGATCAGGACAATCACTGGGCGTTACGAGACTTTGCTTCCCGACTGATGGCACAGATATGTAAAAATTTTAACACCTCTACAAATAATGTACAAACTAGAGTTACCCGTATGTTTAGTCAAGCATTGGCAAAGAACAATCAGGTAAGAGTCATAGAGCTTAACATGCAAAAAAAAAATTATTTTATTCTATGAGACTAAAGAATAATTTTTTTTTTTTTTTTTTTTTTTTGCAGACACCATTAGCATCTCTTTATGGAGCAATTGAAGGCCTCTGTGAATTAGGTCCAGAAGTAATCAAAGCTTTGGTTATCCCCAAAATTAAGTCCATCTCCGACCGCATTGAATCATATATTGAGGGCCAAGGAATATCCAATGTAGATAAAAATGGAGCAGGACATATTAAAACTCTGCTTGTGGTAAAACTGACTTCAATATTTGTTTTTTCTGTAAATGTATAGAATACATTAAGATTTAATATTTTACAATCACTTATTAATGAAAAAGAATTATAAAGCGGAAATATATATTGACTTACTTATTAAATATGAGTATAGTAAAAAAAAATTTCTTTTTAGAAATCGGTTGCTCCAGTTTTGAAAACAATACGGTCACCACCTGATTACGTAGACGATTACAAACAGGATTATGGATACATAGGTCCTGCATTGTGTGCTGCAGTTGCAAAAGCTCGCACGCAACCTGTTGCTTTACCAACCACAACTACAACTACAGCACTTACAACGAATCAGCAACAGAATTCCAATTGTACAGGAAGAACACTTGTGCAAACAGGTGAACGAGTTGTCCTCGATAGCAGTAATATGCATGTTATGAATAATTATCATGATATTATATTGTAGTGACTAGTTCGAGTCCTGGACAGCAAACTGGTCGCACAATTATGCTTGGTACAAGCAGGAA